AGCTAAACTGAGGTCCTCATCCATATTTTCAGTTACAGTCTGAGTCATTTTTGCGTTCCCCTCTCTGTCGTGGATGGAGGACCTCAGTGATGAGAGGAGAATGTGTAGCGCTGAGCTAATACATGGTGATAGCGTCGGGGCTAACGCTAAAGCTAACAGGCTAAGCTGAGGAACAGAACAGAAAGAATATCTTTTCATTTCTGTTTGGTTCACTGTTTCTATTAAAATTCACAAGACAGCTCAGTCTGGGCCTGACGAGTGTTCTGTCCCCCGGATCATTCCGGACCCCACAGCCTCGACTGCACTCCCTTCGACACACCACTCCACCCCGGACACAAGCATCAACCCACCCTGGGTAGCAGAGGTGTCTGGACGACCTGACATGAAAAACCCCTCCGCTGTGGAGGCTCTATTTTAATTATTATTATTTTTTTATTTCTGATGCCTGCAGCACAAAGCATCAAAAATAAAACAAACTGAGTTAACTCCTCTTTGTGGTTAAATATATATTTTTAAACGATGTTTCTGTGTCACGTATAGATCAGGATAAAAAAAAAGCCTAAGGTGATCCGAATCCAACCGGACACATTTTAAATACCGTTTGATGTGATCCTGTTTTAATTTAACCCTCACCGCTTTAAAATGTTCCTAAGTTTATAAAGACCTCAGAATTTTTAGTCTTCGTGTGGACACTGATCTGACTGAACCTGCAGCAGCAGCGAGTGTCCGGTTCGCTCCATGTCCGGTGACAGCAGGATCACAGCAGGAGCAGTTTGAGGAGCTGATCACGGACATCCAGCTGACATTACAGGCCTTTTTTCCATCACTGCCCCGTGGTGAGTTTCCCTCCTCTAGCTGCCTGCAGGTGTCCACTCCGGTGACTCACGCTTGTTCTCGTTTACCTGTAGTTACAGGACGTACAGCGGGGTGAGCTGCTGAGCTTCAACGCTCCACATTTAATTCTTTCCTGAACACAATAAGCTGTGGCAATGATCTGTAGTAGTAATAACAACAACAGCAACAACAACAACAACAACAGTGTGTGTGTGTGTGTGTGTGTGTGTGTGTGTGTGTGTGTGTGT